TCAAATATCCATTCCTCCCCGACGGTGTTTAAGATCGAATCTTACCATATCTCTATTCATAGAAGATAAAAAGGGACTGCGCGATATTTATCAGGAGGAGGGGGTTAGGGTTATGTGCAAAATCAAATTTTATGTACTTAAAGAGGGGGGTCATGCAACGTCTCAAATTGACTAAACTGAAAAATCAACGGATTCGGAAACTTCTCAAGAAAAGCGTGCCAACTCTTTATTCACGAATAGCAAATAAATGAAATAAATATATTCCCCCTGCGAGGTGGGTATTTGAACGTTTTTTGGCTCATCCCCCCCCCCCCCCCCCCCCCCCCACACACACACACACACAAAAAAAAACTCTTCCTGCTCCCCTCCGACAAATATTGCTCAGCCACTAAAGGGATAATAATGAGTAGGTTTTTGTATAAATACCATACACTTCAAATTTTAAAATATAAACAAAAGCTCGCAAAGGATGCCGGATGACCATAGCCCTTTAAATGTTAAGACATCTCTAACGCCAATTTTGGACTTCAAAGTTTCAATCTATTATTATTATGAAGTTTTCAAAATAGTCAAAGGCCTTTCAAAAATAGTCATACTTTTAGGTGCGTTTTTAAAGTTAAACTGCCGAGTTCGACACGCAATTGAATTCGAGATAGTGCCTTTTGTCCGCAATTGTCACAATATGGTCAAATTGGATTAGGAAATTCCACAACTTCAATCGGATTCAGATTGGCCAATTTTTTATCAACGTCAACTGAGCTTAGTTACTAGCAACAAAAACACAGAATAATAAACGAGAAAAATAAGACATTGATTGATTAGCCAATGATTAGGAGTGAAGCTTAGCTTTAAATGCTTCAGGAGTTAGCATGACGTGCATCCTCACTCTATCTTTTCCTGCGCTCAAAAACTGTTGCTGTGCACAACTAATTTTTGGCACAATAAGCAGAGAAGAAGTAATGATGAAATACTTTTGGTAAAATTACCGGTCATTATAATAATCTATAGATGAAAAACATCTATATTGTAGGCATACCTTTAGTATTCAACATCGAAAAGGAGGTGAAAAGGTTAAACTTGGAGTTTTACGCAACAATCTTCATTCCCTGTCGGAAGACAGAAACGGTTTTAGGGCTAGCCCCAACGCGAACAATGATAACATAGCTTTCCATTGACATTATCTCTGTTAGTGCAAACATTAAAAAAAATCTGCTGTGTCTAAGACGATTGTTGATAAATACTGTGGTCGGTTCACCATAATCGTTTACTGTGGAGGATTATTAAAAATGTTAGCAAACAAACAGGTTTCTTTTGTATTCCATACCGTGATAGTTTSAAAACAAGAAGAAAAAACACGGAAACAAAACCATGAAAATATGCATCKTCAGTTTGAGTCAATTTCCAAACATTTTCTACTTTATTTAGAAGTAATACCGTAGTATAACAATTTTTATTCCCTAAAATTACAAGTTATTGTAGGCATAGCAGTACTATAGAAGACAAGTTAGGTTYCCTTTGACCATTCTTTTTAATATCATAAAATATTAAAAGCAATCAAAGCCCTCAGGGAAAAATCGACTGAGTATTATTTATTACAGCAATTACTATGACATCTAATCAATAATTCCTTCTCAAATATTGTCATTGCTTAAAAGATTTATAGCTTTAGTAAAAGAAACAAGATTTTTTCATGATATGTATTCTAAGAGATTCATCCGGTTAGCATATATACTACAAAGCAATACAGGGTTTCTGTGGAAAAAGTCTATTGACTAAACCAGTATCTTTGTTTCCTGCGCATTCTTACAACGCAARGAAAGTCGACTCACTAGCTACTACTTTGCATTGAAAAAATCTGTCTGAAACTTTTAATCAGTGAATCTGGGATCTGGAAAGTCGACTGGGCAAGGCTATATGGAAACTTCAATAAACTCCCTAAACCGATTAGAACCGTCTAAATCGACCARATAACTGAAAAACTTGCAAAGATGGAGAACGCGGACCAACAATTAGTGATAAAGAGAAGAAAAGGATGGGTTTGACGTCTCCTTCAGCCGTGTTTACATTAGGCAATTTGTAATTGGTAAACGCGGAATCAAAGCGGACTGGTGGTCACAGCATGCAGAGGTTTAAACTGGATAAAAAATAAACTTAGCCTCGGCTGGAGAAATATTCAAAAACAGCTTTCTTTTATGGAGTTCCACGCCAATAAGAAAGAAATTACTACAAATTATCCGTAATTATCCGTAGTTTTCATCGACTTCGTCGCCATCTTGGATTTTGGTTGATGTTCATGTCCATAAAGTGTCAATAAAATGCAAATGTAAAAAATTGGAAAGAGTCTTCGAAAGAGTCTTTTCGATGATGTTAACTCCTTTCAATAATTCACTTATTGCTCTCAATTGAAATAATTGTCGTCTTTTATATCTATTGAATTTGATGTTGTTCAGCCTGAATTTTTAGTATTGAGCTTCCTGTTTCAAATCTATCCCATATATGGAAATACACAAAATGGCCGATAGTCAATCAAGATACCTTTTCTCCGTTTTACATTTCTTTTTTAAGAAATTTTTATTTTTATAATATTTTTAATTTCGGGCGCGAGCTCAAGCCTCAAAACCATTCTTTTTCTTTTTTTGTTATACAAAAACGATCATTAGAGCCAATGAGGGGAAGCGTTATACATGAATAAAAAATGCTGCATGGCTACTACTTTAGTTTCATCTCCGATTTTAGAAGTATTACAAGGCTGTTTTATTTACTGAGATAATTTTCTTGCTATAATCCTTTGTAAAAGATAAAAAGTGCATAAAAATCCTCCAAAAAGTGATAGAAA